GCCTTCAGGTACAAGCTCTCCTTCCTCTGTGAGGGCAGATCTGCACGTCCCCCCCCCCCAAAATAGCTAGCACAGTCCAGTGGAGCCTGAGCGGTGGGTGTTGCCTTCTGACACACTTCCAGTCATGTCAGGGGTGTGTGGCCTATGCAAATAAGTTATGCTAATGAGTTATGCTAATGAGCTCCTGCACCTCCTTTTCTACGAAATGACCCCTGAGCACACCACAACGATTCAGAAGCACAACGAAGGGATTGCAAATGGAGAAAAAGCAGTTTCCCTCAAAAGCGGCTCAATCACGCTTTGCTAACTCGACGCAAGTGTGTTTGTATGAACGGGTAAATAAATCTCACGAGCAGTCCACTGCTAAAACGGATCGGTCTGAAAAAAACCATTAGCAACCAGTTACGAAAACGGAACACAAAGGCTGTTCGAAAAGGGTCTCTATTAAGGGAAGGGCCAGGATAGACGTGTGCTTTGCATACTGTGGGCTAGGCTTACCAAGTCCTTACCTTGAATTGGCGGGGGACACGTATGTCTTGTCAGGAACATTCCCGCACGGAAAACAAACGCGCCGCACCATGCCGTCGCCCAGACCTGATGCCAGCACGCTAGGCACATAGCTGGGCGACACTCTGGCAATAGAGCTGGAAACTCGATGGTGTATTTTGTGGCCCGAACTCCACGACCTGGGCCTAAAACCACACAGGGATTAGGAACTGTGACTGGCCGGATCCAAAGATGATTCAGCCCGGAATTAGGCCAGCAGGTGGTGTGAAATCTCCAGAAATGAACAAGAGATTAGTCTTCCTGTGGCTGAAAGTAGAACTAACTCAGCCCCATCCCCTTTCCAAGTAAGACGGCTATCGCTGAGGTTTTCTACCTTCTTATCCTTCCCCTCCACCCTTCTGAGATGGGCGAGAGGCAGATTGTATAGTGTGTGTGTGTGTGTGTGGGAGCCGAAATGGATGCAAAAAGCCCCTTCCACGCTCAAATAGGTTTTCTGGGGCACCGAGAAGGTCTTGCTTCTCCAGTGTATTAGATATCAACTCGTTCAACTTCACAGGAAGAGTCATTCTGGGTTGCGGCATCAGACGTGAGTGGGAGGGAAACAGATGCTTTGCTCAGACGTGGGCGCACGGTCGGAGCTGTTGTTGGCCAGGAGGGAGGGGATGGCTCATCTCAGTGAAACTTGGCAGGGCCAAGAAGGGTAGGAGGCCTTCCAGAAGCTGTGCTGTCACGTTCCCGAGGGAGGTAGCAATTAGTCATCGTGGGTAAATGGAACCGACTTCCATGGGAGTTCTACCCGACCTGGATTCCGCCACTACAGATACAATCTTTACGGCTGCCACCTCTGGATTGGGAAATCCTTGGCGGTTTGGAGGTGGAACCTGGGGAAGGTGGAGCTGGGGAGGAGTGTCGGGTTGCCAGCTCCAGGTTGGGAAATACCTGGAGATTTTGGGGTGGAGCCTGAGGAGGGGAGGGTTGGGGGACGGAAGGGAAGGGGCTTCAGTGCGGTATAATGAAGAAGAAGAAGAAGAAGAAGAGAAGAGATTGGATTTATACCCAGCTGCCCTTCACTACCCAAAGGAGTCTCAGAGCGGCTTACAATCTCCTTTCCCTCCCACAACAGACACCTTGTGAGGTAGGTGGGGCTGAGAAAGCTCTGACAGAAACAGCTCTTTTCCAAGAACAGCTCTGCCAGAACTATGGCTTTCCCAGGGTCATCCAGCAGCTGCATGTGGAGGAGTGGGGAATCAAACCTGGTGCTCCCAGATTAGAGTTCGTGCACTCAACCACGACACCAAACTGGCTCTCATAGTTTGATTCCATAGAACTGAATATGTATAAAACAAAGATTTCAAATTGTCTGAAAGCAGAAAAATTATATTGTATGGAACAATTCAGACAATTTGAAATCTTTGTTAAAGAACCCATATATATATAACAAAGATTTCAAATTGTCTGAATTGTTGCATACAATATAATTTTTCTGCTTTTGTTCGTAATTCATTCACGGAGTGTCTTTATATTTATACAATC